GATCAACTGGATCATGATCGAGCAGTGGAAGACGACGCCAAATAGCCTCTTACTGAATAACCTCCTTTTTCTACTTCATCCCACCTTTTGGAACCTGCCAAAGCTACTGAAAAGTGTGGCCCACTTTAAGCTTGCAGTGTTGAGTACTGTTTCAAAGCTGTACTGGAGAATTTACAGGCGAAAAAATGAGAACCAATTTGATAACCAACTTCTTGATAAGCCCTCTTCANTGGACGCTCTATTACCTCTGCAAACACGAGGAGGTTAAACAAAAAGTCCAGGAGGAGATTGACGATTTTATTGAGGNTCACCATCGCCGGCCACCTGACCACCACCTCGGCTCTCACCTGGACGCTCTATTACCTCTGCAAACACGAGGAGGTTAAACAAAAAGTCCAAACGGAGATTGACGATTTTATTGAGCAAGCAGTTCCGTTAAACGAAATCCTCACCAACAAATCCGTCCTAAAGTACCTGGACGCGGTGATAAGAGAGTCGCTGAGGCTGGCAGGAGCAGCAGCCTACCTAGGTCGAAAGGCAACAGTTGATGTCCAACTTCCGGTCAGTTCAGAAGATTCCACAAATAAAGAAAAGGAGGAATTCATCACAATTCCCGCCGGCACCAATGTGAGCATCATGGCGCAGTACATGCACTACAGTGAGCGGTGCTACAAAAAGGCAGGGGAATTTATTCCCGAACGATGGCTACCAAAAGGTGATGATGATAATGATAAAGAGGAAATGGACACCACCTCCTGTTACTTTCCCTTCAGCGCCGGAAACCGGGCCTGTTTCGGTGAGAAGTACGCACTCCTTCAAATGAAGGTCACCCTGCTGTCGATTTGCTCAAAGTACGACTTCACCTTGGCGTACCCTGAAACAGTTTGTAAACNACCACCAAAAAAAAATCAGCTCAACTTTGCCGCCAAAAGATGTCGTACGCTTTTCAGTTTTCGAAAACAAAAATAAAAGAACTTGTTGTGTAATAATCAAAATAAAGTAAAGTAAAAGTTTGACCTGTTTTGGCTAAGAGTGTCTGTGTTTCAACAAAAAGAGAGTACCACTTTTTGCTTTAGCTTTTATCTTGCTTATCACAACTTTTCCACAACCTCTAAAATGACCTCCACAACAACATCAAAATCTTCTGCCACAAAACTCCTGCTGACCGATGCCTACCGTACGGCGATCGCCGCGGTACAGCCGTCATCGCTGATCAGCACCGCCGTACAGCTGGACCCAGCCTCAGGCGTCCTCAAAGTCACCGACCAGCTGACCAAAAGTTCGATCACCACTGTAGAACTTCCGGGACGGAATGTTTTTATCATCGGCGCCGGAAAGGCGGTCCTCGGCATGGCCACCGAGCTGCTGCGAAAGGTGGAGGAGTTCAATAGTAACAATAACAATGCACTTCAAAACCAAAACCAAAACCAAAATCAGAAAAAGGTGATCATCACCATCTCCAAAGGTCAACTGAACATTCCACACGGAAGTGAGGTGAACGATGAAGACAAAAATCTACTAAATCGAAATTCGATCACCCTCTGCAAAGGTGCCAAAAATAATTTACCCGATGACGACTCGGTGGCCGCCACCAGGTCAATTTTGGAGCTGATTAAGGAGGCAAAAAAACTGCCAAACAACTCCTCTAAAACTCCACCGCTGATTTTAGCCTTCATTTCCGGCGGTGGCTCCGCCCTTCTCTCATTGCCACGCCCACCAGCCACTCTGTACGACAAGCAGAAGGTCATTTCCGGTCTGGTGAGGGCCGGAGCGGACATTGTCGCCCTCAATTCAGTCCGAGGACGGCTGAGCAAGGTGAAACATGGCCAACTGGCGGAGCTGATCATTTCAGATCAGGGGCCTAAAGGTCAAGCTCTGGAGCTGGTCACTTTCATTGTCAGTGACATTATCGGCGACCCGATTGACAAGATTGCCAGTGGACCAACGGTGGTTTTAGAAGATTCAAAAAATCAAGATTCTATTTCTCCGCTTGAAGTGCTGCAGCAGTTCAACGTCCCGGTGGAGGATAAAATACGGCAGCTGCTAACAGTTGAAAATACTGATTTAAATAAAGCTCGAAAGGTTCTAAACCAAAACCTTCTTCAAAATGTTCTCATCGGCAACAACGCCATCGCAGTGGCTGCTGCTGAAAAGGTGATAGTTCAAAAATCATCATCAAAAAAGAACTTTAAAGTAGTCGTTCAAGGATCGGCAGTTTGTGGAGAAGTGAAGGAAGTGGTGGCAAAATTTATCACTGACCTAGAAGATCAAGGAAAGGAAACTCAAAAAGAAGGACTTTTTGCAGGAGTTTGCCTGCTGGCAGGCGGTGAGACGACCGTCGATATGAAGGACGCTAAGGAGATTGGTAAGAGTTTGAACCCCCAAAAAAAATCAACAAAAACTAAGTTTTAAAATTTTAAGGTCTCGGAGGTCGTTGTCAAGAGATGGGACTACTTTTTCTGCAGCACCTAATTTCTCACTCTAAAACTTCCTCAGTGTTCCGCCAAATTACCGCTTTTTTTGGCGGCACTGACGGCCAAGATGGACCAACCTCGGCGGCCGGCGTTGTGCTCAGCTGGCCAGAGGACACAGCTAAAATTTTGAGCAATTCTGAAGTTCAAGACGCCCTTAAAAAGGCCATCAAACGGCACGACTCGCACAACTTTTTCAAGCAACACCTTCCTCAGGAAAATTGCCTCCTAGAGAC